GAATTGTTAATAAAAGTGTGGCGTTGATGGATAAATGGGGAATTCATTTAACATTGGTGTGCTCCCCTCTACCTCATCAGGCAGAAGAAAATAAGGTCTGTCTGCTAATCAGCTGCTGTCCTGACTGTGCTTGTTATTAGCATGCCATTACCATAATCACTAATCCTCAAAACCTGTAGTTCCATTTAAGTATGGGCGGCTTTTTGGATGCAGGCATGATGAAGAACACTCCCTTCATTCTTCTACATACACATTTCTTATTAAATACTATGACACAAACCATACTTTTCAAATCAGGAATTAATCCACCCTAATTATCCATTAGAAAAGTTTTGGCAGATTATGTGTAATCGCAAAATTCTGTTCATCAGTTGCTCCAAATCAAAAACGGGAAAAAATGAAAAGAGAGAGAGAGAGAGAGAGAGAGAGAGAGAGAGAGAGAGAGAGAGAGAGAGAGAGAGAGAGAGAGAGAGAGAAAAGAAAAAAGCTCTAGCTCTGGGCAGGTAGGTTAGCTTGCTCTTCAATCACATGTTAGAGCATAATATAGCCTCTATTATATGGATGCGTCTCGAGTTATACTCATGTGCCTCATTTGCATAAATATAACTGGCAACTGACAATTATAAAATACATATGCATTTTCGAGTGCATAACTTAAGAAAGCCTACATAAAGAACAAAAATAAAAGTACAATAATAGAGACTATGAAAGAGTGGTACAATGCAAATATGGTTGCAATACTAAATATAGCTGCAAGCAGCCATTACCGGGGCCAAGCGCAAGAAGCGGCAACATATGCCAAAATGGCAAGGAGTGGCAGACCAACTGCAGCAAGGAGCAATTAAGGGCATTTTGAGAGAACTTTGGGCAAATGGCTAAGAAAATCACATAAACATTAACTTATAAGATGATTTAATGGGTTATCACTTTCGAACAATTATAGGTGGCGCAGTTACGAAATAGATGTGATGTGGTCAGAGTGAGGTGACAATGACACATGCAAAGTTTGGTGTCAAAATGTGAAGGCATTGCAGAGATAAAGCCTAAATAGTAATTTTGGCAGCATGCCTAAAATTTGATGCTGTGGTATACGAAAACGGTTTTGTCTATCATCGTGCAATTCATAACTTTTAGTCGGCACGGTCTGGAGATGATACGATTCAATTTTCGTGAAAATCGGACAAACGGTCTAGGAGGAGTTCGAAAAAGAAGGTTTTTCAAAGAAATAAAGATGGCGAACAGGAAGTTTGTCTGATTATGGAAAACCTGATATCTATGTTTTCAGCATAACCCAACGAATCTATTAAGATCAGTTTCATTGCAATAAGCAAATTTATTCAAAAGTTATTAGCGTTCTCAGAAATTAATTATAACTTTTGACCAACAGGTGGCGCTGTCTCAAAATCTTTTGAGTACCTTCAGGGCATGCTGCTTATGGCATACACTGAGTTTTGTAATATTACACTAATGCATTTGTTTAGTATAGCATTTTATTTCACAAAACTCTATTGAAGTCAATGGGAATTTCACGTTTTGTTCTATTATAGCGCCACCAAGAGGCTCAGTCCCACAATTTTTTTTATGTGTCCTCAGAGTGACCCCATACATATGTGTGTCAATTTTGGTGCAAATATCTCAATTCACTTCCGAGGTATAAACATTTATATGAAAAAACACGTAAAAAATGACTGACACATGACTTTGTTTGAATTTTACTACCCCTTACTATCAATATTTTCGCATTTGGGCATTAGCGTATAGTTAACAAGCTATAATTCCGTGTTTCTGGCGGTGGTTTCGTCTCGATCGGAACAGCGGTTTTGAAGATATCGCCAAGTGTTTTTTTCACGCTAAATCGCTACGCTACACCAACCGTAACACGAAACCCAGCATGTTTAGTATCGTTGGACTCGGCAACGATTCAGGAACTCAAAAAATGACTCCCGTGAAAATAAGTGTACCACACCCAAAGTTATAAGCGTTTGAAAAAAAAATTCACCACTAGGTGGCGCTGTTTCGAAACTTCTCAGGCTTCTTCAGGGCATCGTACTGATGACCCATACCGAGTTTCGTAACAATTCGTTCATGCGTTCAAAAAATACAGCATTTTAGCACATAATTCAAAATGGCCGACAGCCAAAATGGCCGATCTGGGAAAATTGGATATCAGTCGACTCGGCATGATGCCCTGAATCTAACGAGATGAGTTTATGATTTTTGGACAAACCGTTCAGAAGTTACGAGCAAAAATAGCCATTTTTCATATCTCCGGACCACTAGGTGGCGCTGCGCCGAAACGCTGCATGTAGCCTCAGGTCATGCTTGTGATGACATGTACCAAGTTTGGTCTGAATAGGATGAAGCGTTGCGGAGATACCGCCTCACGTCTGTTTTTGCAAGCGCTACGTAAAATTAGTTTGCGCGTTTATCGAAAACGGTTCTTCGAATCATCTTGAATTCCATAACTTTTTGTCAGCACTGCCTGGAGATGATCCGGTGCGATTTTGGTGAAAATCAGACAAACCGTCTAGGACGAGTTCGCAAAAGTAGGTTTTTTGGAAAATTCAAAATGGCGGCCATTTTTTTATGACGGAAAATGACGTCATAGGGTGCGATCGAATCGGCATGAGCTCAGGAACAAGAAGAAAAAAGAAATTTTGTTGATAGGCCTTACGGTTCAAAAGTTATTAGCATAATAAAAGTGCAACTTTGGACAGTTGGTGGCGCTAGAGGGAATGAGTTAGAGACACCAAAATTGGTGTATTTAAAGTTGGGACTGTCCTCTATCAGAATGTCAAACCAAAACAACTTTCCCGCAAACCGGTCTATGGGCTGTCATAGACGCCCAGTCGGAAGAATAATAATAATAATAATAATAATAATAATAAGAACCGGCACAGATACAATAGGTGCCTCCGCACCTTCGGTGCTTGGCCCCCTAATTACATACCAACTAAGACAAAAGTGTACATAGCTGTACTTTCTTTTTAATGGAGTACGATCAATGGTATTTAAGCAAATATGAATCTGTACACCATAATTTCCTAAAATTCAAAACTACTCTGACTTTAGGTGTGACATCAGTAAGATTTTTTTTAAAGAAATCAATACTTTAATTCAGCAATGATGACCAAGAGACAGTACAGACTTTTGCATTTTGTATAATTAATATAAGATATAATACCAAAAATAATAATATTATAGAAACATTTAAAAAACAATTATGCAAAATAAAAATATACAAAAAATGCCAAAAAAATATACAAAAAATGTCATTCTTGTTACTTAATTATTCATCAAATAATCCTGAAAAAAGTATCATGGTTTCCACAAAAACAGCACAACGGTTTTATAGTAAGAAATGTATCTTGAGCACTAAATAAGCATATTAAAGGATTAGTTCACCTAAAAATGTAAATTATCCCATGATTTACTCACACTCAAGCCATACCAGGTGTATAGCACTTTATTCTTTAAGCCAAACACAATCAGAGTTATATTAAAAAATACTGTAGCTCTTCCAAGCTTTATAATGGGAGCGAATGGTGCTAGTTTTTTTTTTTTTTTTAAATCACTGGCTTCCAGTAACGGCCGTACGCAAGTCGAGTTCTGGCATAAGAGTGACCTCTGACTCGACGTATGACAAAATGACAAAAGATGTAGGAGTAGCGTAAGCTTAGGTGAGAGTAGACAATTCTTGCAGTTCAAACAAATGGGGCTGGGCAACAGACTCAAGCTTCTCTTATGTCGAAATCCTTAAACATTTCTGTTTAAAAAAATCTTGTTTTAGACTTCTAATTTGTGGTGTTTTATGCACTTCCATGTTTATCAATACATCATGCATCGGGTCAGAGGTCACTTTTCCGCTGGAAATCGACTTACGTACAGCCGTCACTAGAAGCCGGACATTATTTCTTACAAAAACACATCGATTGGCTTCAGATGGCCTTTATGACACTCCCTGGAGCCATATGGATTACTTGCATGATGGACGGATGCGCTTTTTTGGGCTTTAAAACAAAAACAAGGTACCATTCACTGATATGTTTTAATATAACTCTGATTGTGTTTGGCAGAAAGAAGAAAGTCATCTACACCTAAGATGGATTGAGGGTGAGTAAATTATGGGAAAATTTTGGGTTAAATGTGCCTTTAATATTATTTCTAAAGGATCATGTAGGATAATTTCTTAAGGATCTGAATTTTTAGCAGTCATTACTCCAGTCTTCATCTAAAGACTGGAGTAATGGCTGCTAAAAATTCAGCTTTGCCATAACAGGAATAAATTACATTTGAAAATATGTTCAAATATATATTTTGTTAATGAGGATAAAGTTACTGAGTGTATACTGAGTGTGAGTAATTCTTCTAGTGGATATCATATGGTTATTACTCTGTTACTCAAAACAGCAGCTGCACTGTGTGGCTACATTTGTCAACACTGAACACACCTTACATCAGCTTGCACGGCTACAAGAAACATTGCTGCTGTCAGCAAACGTAGAAACCCATCCACAGATCAGCAAAACAATATCACGCAATTCATCACAAACATCTGCCGAATAAAATCAGCCTACAGAGATGGAGCACTGTGGGACTCACCAAAACACTGTCTGAATAAGACACACAGAAACACCACCCTACTTTCTCGCCTTTACAGTATATTTCACAAAAACATCCTGTGAGGGTTTTGTTCAGAGTGGAGGCCCAGAGAAGAGAGAAAAAAAGTGTCCAGTTTCACTTTCACTTAAAATAAATCTATCTTCTCTTAAAAGTCTCAGTCCACCCACCCGGAAATTCAGGCAGTAGGCGGTTGGCCAGAATGATGCAAGACACATAATCCAAAACAGATGAGAGGGGGTACTCCACATTTCCCAGATGAGGAAATCTCCTCAGAATTTCCTACAGCTGTGGCCAATAGGAGCTCAATAATAAAGTTAGCAGGCTACGCTAATGTGGGTTACGCTAGCATGACGTGTGTGTGTGCGAGGACGACTTACCAAGCTTACAGCTGCCTGTGGAGGTGACGCTGGAGCAGGGGCAGGGGATGCAGGGGTCCGTGACGAGAAACCTGGGCCTTCTGTAGAAATTATACCTGCAGTTCTCGCAACTGGGTCCTTCGGTGTTGCCTTGGCAGTTCACACAGATGCCTGAGAGAACAGGGGGAGGGAGAGAGGGTTGAGTAAACAGACCCACAGCTGTAACTGACAGGACTTTGGTCCAGTGAGGTGGACGAGAGGGGAACAGAGTTCAACGAAACAAAACAAGGTAGACATAACAAACCTGAAGTTAGTAGACCGATGCGAAGGGAAAAGAAGAAATGGAGAGATTGAGCAAACGTATTTCTAGGGAGTGTGCATGAAAACAAGGAACTTCCTTAGACCCCGCAAGAGCATGTGCAAATCTAACCACAAAATGCTAACGGTGGGGTGAGGGTTGTGAAAACAAATAAATGCATCACAATTTGAATAAGATCATTTTGTGTGTACCAATAACATTGAAGTGAACTCTTTAGTTTGAGTGATTTGAACTGCTTTCAATATATTGATTTGAATTGTTGAATTCACAAGTGAAATGAAAAACAGAACACTTCCCCAACAAGTTATTGCATAATTCACAGAGGAAGTGTGAGAAACAGAAACAGCGCATAATAATTGCAGAAATCTCTAATTGCTGAAAAAGTGACCAAAACTGTTGTAAGTGATATGCGTTATGATTTCCTTCTCTGAGCATGAGAGAAAGCGCAAATACATGGCACAGTAATTAATGAGTGGAATAAAATAGCAGAAGGAAGGACTGGTGAGTATGGAGGCGTTTTGGAGCTGGAACAGTATCTTGTTTGGAGAATGTGACGACACAACCAGAAGATCCTGTTCCAGCTCCAAAACACCTCCACCAGTACACCTGATCAACACCTGTGCAACTGATCAAAAATTGTGATTTCTCTGCTGTACATCAGGCTTCTTGCATTTGCTGTTTTTTTTATCCTTCATTTCTGACAAAGCACCACTTCTGGTGATAGCGCTATAAATAAATATCAATGTCACTGTATTAGATAACAAAATATCAAACCAAAAATATAGCAGGAAATATAACACTGATATGCAAAACATTTCAGGTCAAGGTCTTAATTTATAAAACAAAAGATGATGTACAGTTCAAAATTAAAACAAAAAGCATTTGGACACTGTTGTCTTCTTTTACGTTCCACAGAAGAAAAGAAGTCAAAATTTGGTAGAAGATGAGGGTCAGTAAATGATGACAGAAATTTCAGATTTTAGTGAACTCTACCTTTTAAATGACACTTGTTGGTTGATTAGAAAAATTAAGATGAATGAAGAATGCCAATGCCTCTTGATATTCAAACATTTTTAATTGCGGCATCAATATCCAAATACGTTTTGGGACCAATGCAGCGCTCAGAGCAATTATCTCAGACAGAGAAAGATTAATGACACAATAATTATTATTTATTTATTTATTTTTTTTTTTTACATGAATTGTAATTCACATGACTTGTATTTGTCACGTTACTTGCATTTGCCATGTGACCCTTTGTGTGTGCCTAATTAAGGTAATCATCTGTGATCTGTGATCTACTTGTGATATTGTGTGTGCCGAATTAAAGGGCAATTATCTGTATATATTTAAAGTTGACTTCATACTACATGTATATTGTGCCTGATGAAGACCTGAGGGTCGAAACGTTGCTTTTTAATAAATTTTTGGAGCAGTACCTTTCAGTGTGCGGACTTCACACTTCTTTATTTTGTTTACTTCACTCAGATGTCCTGCACCTGAGCCCAATTTAGGTGTTTGGGATGTGCACACCAGTTTTGTATTTTTTGAGGATTCAATACAATTCACAAAAATCACACTATGAAAAACAAAGAAGTAAAAAACAGTAAACTTGTAATATCAATGTTTTTCACACATCAAAAACAAAAAACAAAAAAACAATTAAAATAAATAGAACTTATGATTTATGAAAATGCTTTAACCACTATTTTTTTAAACTGTTACCTTTGGGACATTTGCCATTACATTTTATCTTACAACAATATCTTAGTTTAAACATAAAGTATAAACCTTTCCATATTTGGCGACTGATATTCGATAGCAATAGATTCTCCTTTTGTGAAGCATCGCTGAACTAAAACGTACACCCAGATCCCCTCTGTATGTTTTTATGTGTTTGTTAGATCTACTTCTGAATAGGATGTGTGTTTTCACATCACTCAAATCATAAAAGAGCCTAGATGTCATCTAGTGGAAAATTTTGGTACTGTTCCAAAATAAAATCTTACTGATAGTTAATTTTTTAAGTAAAACTGAAAAATTTAAGTTTTAAAATTAAAACTTGTTCAGGTTTACGGCTTTGATTTTCTTGCAGTTTTAAAGCCTGATATGTTTTTTTTTAAAATACATAGTTTATTTAAAATATATATGCACATTGCACATCAGTGTATCCTCACATTGCATTAATGTTTGTTACTCTGAATGTGGAAAAGTCACAAAACTCAAAAAGAAATAAAATACTGAAAAGTTGCCTTTAAACGTAAACAAATCTGGGTAAAATTGACCGACGATATAAACCATAATAGAAATTGTTTTTGCATTTCAAAACACATCAGAGTATCATGATTGTCATGATTTATATCTCACTTTACATGCATGTTCATGATGCTAAATGAGAAAATTCACAAAAATGTCAAGAAAAAGAAAATTGTAGGTTAACTAGTATTTCTGATACTACAAGGGTTAAATCAGCTGATACCATTGATTAGCCAATAAATTGTACTAGTTCAAACCCGGCAAGAGGCGATCTATGAACTATTACAATTAATCTCTTGCACTTAAATCTCAATTTGCTCCAGGAGTTTGGGGGTTTCTTGCTGTAATAATAAATGTACTTGGATGAAAGCGCCATCTAAATGACTAATTGGATAGTTAACATGAATTTTCTAGAGACTGAGGTTCAGCTATAGGTTATTTACTACTTATGTTGTGTGCATGCGGGCGACTCACCTGACTGTGGTGGCAGTAGCTGCTATGATTATTGCATTGACAAGGTTGGCACCCCGTGCTGCTGAATTCGAGAAGCCTGGGCGGCAGTCGTCACACTTGTCCCCAATGCACTCCCATCTTGCAGATGCACAAGCCTGAACTGCCAGAAAAGTAAATACAAACATATTTGGAGTTACAGTAATAGAGGCACAAAATGAAAGACCAATTGTTCTTACAGGACAGTAAAGAATCCTTCAAAAGCCAGACATAGAGAGGTTAAAACCTCTGTCCATCAAACACCAGGTTTTCTCTGAACTGCCAGAATTGCTGCTCCTTCCATCCATCACATGTTAACAGAACCACACCATAAAACTGAACCAACATGTACAGTATTTGAGATAATGCTGTAAACTAGAGGTGTAATCATATATTAATATGCATCAAAAAAAAAATTATAGTATTATTCAGTTATAATAATATAAAATGACCAAGGTTTGTGGACAACAGATACTTAAATGCATTTCATTTGCATTGGATTGTTGTTTCATGGTTGTTTCAGGATCTTTCCTGCCCTGCGTTACATAAAAAAAATTATTACACAAAGGTCATTAGTGGTTCTGCGTGTAATGAAATTTCCTTGAACTACTTGGCAGAGAAACAGATTGGGGTAAATATGCTCTACATGA